CAGGCGCCCCCATCCCCAACAGCTCCAGCAGCAGCCTCTGCCACCTTCATCCTCGAGGCAGGGAGGGAGGGAGGGAGGGAGGGAGGGCAGGCCAGGGTACGCCCCGCTCTCCCCTTTGCCTTCCTCCTCAAATCGCGTTCGTTTCGCGTCATCATCCCCAATCCCTCTTCGGCGGTGAGGGCAGGGAAGCCGTAGCTCTACCTGAAACGGTCAATTATTTTTAATTTCCGTTTCGTTGCCAGGGGGAAAAAGTGCCGAATATTCCCGAGATACATGTGGGCTGGGGACTCCGTCGATGCGTCGTGCCACCGTGCACTGCCGGGGAGGAAAATGTATTTACGGCAAGAAAAAGGATGATGTCGAGGGGCCTTGCGTACGATGTCAAAAAAGAAAAGGAGACCGTCTTGTAAAGGGAGGGCTTGGATAATGGGGTGAAAGCAAAAGAAGGTCACGTGGTAAGCTGCATTGGGAGACGAAACGGACGGTGGGGCATGGGACAATCTCAGGGCGGGGGAGGGCGAGGAAGAAGCGGAGGCGGTGGGGGAGACACGAGAAAGGGATGCCAGGCTACGGGCTATGGTTTATATGTACGTATGACAGTTGTAATTGATTGCTTTTTTTTCGGTCGACGATACGAATATAAAAGAAGCCGGTATCATTTGTTTGGGGCAGTCACACTGGCCAGTAAAGAATTTATCTCAAGGAGCCATGCTGCATCATGCAATTACTTTTTGAAGATTTTAAAGTAGCTGCTACGATAATATATTGCGTATTTGGTGTTAATGCGTATTTCGGTCTTGTTGACATGACACAAAGGGCAATATGATCCAATTTGGATAGTACGAAATGCGCTTTCAAAAGGGAGGAGGTTGACAGAAAGGAGGACCACAGAGCCTAGAACCGAATACTCAAGCCGAATGCCATGACATGTATGCCCCTACGACCACCTATGCCCGCATCCAAAGTTCTACATTCTAGTGCTGAAAAACGCTTGAGTGGGTGCGTTGTGATATTCACGAAAGCCTTCTTGAAGGCTCCACAGGCCAAAATGGAGGGAAAAAAAATATACCTACTTCTATCACCACCAAACGACAGGAAAAAAACGTATGAAAGCTGCTTTGTGTCAGTATCTTGGTGCCTTACTGCAAATCACAAGCCAATTTGGTGGGATGATGATATACTGGCAGCGGTTATCCACACATTTTGGGGGGGAACGGGGAATAAAATTCCGGCAACGCCGGTGCCGTGTGTAGAAGTGCTTTGACAGGTTAAAAATTACGATACTGTTGATAATCGACAGCCTTACAACCGTGAAAACACATAGATACGTAAAATGTGGCGAAAATCTTGCCGTCCTTTTCCCAGCTGCGTCGGAGCCATCTGACGAGCCGCGTACCCCGCACGCCCTCAATTTGGATGACAGCAGCACACTCCATCTATTATCCATACGCAATACATACCAAATATAAATTATTGAATGATTCATGAATGCTCGGATAGTCTCGAGTCGTAGTATGCGGCGGTCCTATAGTGTAATGGTTATCACTTGAGACTCTGAATCTCACAATCCGAGTTCGACTCTCGGTAGGACCTCAGCTCCCTCCTTCTCCCAGAACAGGTAATCTTTTTCCCAAGGAAAATAAAGAACGCTTTTTTGGTCCCCTTCTGTAATGCGGAAGGAAAGAGAGGGCTCTCGGTAGGATCTGAGCCCTCGTCTCATTATTATTGAGCTTTTTGAATCTTTTTTAGGGTCGCTAATTATTTTTTTCTTTTTCCTTAGGATGAGTGAATGAAGTGAAGACCAGACGGCAGTTTTCACATTGCCTTCTGAAGCAATGACGGAGGGATAACGTAAAATATGCCCGACAATAACGCTGCACGGATGCATTATCGCTTTTTTGTTCTTTTTCTCTCCCCTCCACAGATAAAGAGCATTAAAAGCCCTCATTCCGTTTTGAAGACCGGGCCGTTCCTTAGCTTCTCCAGCACTCTTTCTGGGGAAAAAGAAAAGAAATAAGAAGAGAAGGACGCCTGTATCAGTCATTCGTCTCCCTCCCACCCTAGAGGCAGGGAAGAAAACCAGGGCCTCGGTAGGCCTTCATTGTCGAGCGCAACTTTCAGAGTCACCCAGAGACAGGCCGCGCGAGTCAATGTACCCCTCCTCTTCTTTCGACTCTGTCTGATTCTGGCACCTTTTTCAAGTATAACGCATCGCGGTACCGTAAACTACCTTCCTTGCCGCGTCTCTTCCGGCTCCAACATGTTGGATTATTTGTTTGGGTTTTCCGCGAACCGCAATTTATTTCGCGCATTTTTTTTCGACCGTTGCCCGGTGGCATACATATACACATAACGTCGTCCGTCGCCTATTTTATTCCTCAAACCATATAGTGCCAGGATATCTCTTCAACACCCCCTTCCAGCAAAGTGTTCGTAAGACCCGATTAGTTTCCCGGTACTCACCTTCCTTGCGTTGAAGCTCCGAGGCGAGGGCTCGCAAATCGTCCATCCGCCGGGCAAGGGCCTCCGCATCCATTCCCATCATTTCTGAAGGTCATGCCCCGAATTCCCACCATGAAAAAGAAGCAGATGCATGAGGGATGGAGTATGTCACAACCAGCTGCGAAATTTCGAGGAAAAATCTATCCCATCCCCTGGTACGGGCATCGCATGACCCGACCGCTGGGAGAGCTCTCGTGAGAAGGAAGCATCCATCACTTCAAAAACACAACCAAGGGTTTGTATCCATTCCTTCAATTCAAGGACAACACCTTTCGATAAAATCTCGACAACTTCGATAAAACACACAC